AAGATGAGGAATTAGCTTCTACAAGCTTGAATGCCTTCGATATCATATCTTTCTCCCCCGGTTTGAACCTATCAGGGTTGTTTGATGATTCATATAATGTGGTTGATGACAGAGAAAGATTTGTGTCGACCGAATCGCCAGAGAATTTGATGAAGAAGGTTGAGGAGTTTGCAAAGGAGGAGAGGTTGAGGGTGAAGAGAAGGAAAGAATGGGGGTTGGAGATGGAAGGGCAAAATGGTAACCTGATGATATCTGTAGAGGTTTACCGGTTAACCGATACTTTGTTTGTTGTGGAGGCTAAGAGGAGTGGTGGTGATGCCGGATGCTTTAAGGAGACATGGAAGAATAAGCTTAAGCCTGTGATTATGGCTACTTAGTAATTAGGAGTACTTATTAATCAACAATAGAGCCAGGTTTCTGCTAATTGGAATTTGGTCACCTCTTGTTTGCCAGAAAAATTGAATTTTTGCCATATGTTTGCTGCATTTCTTTTTCCTGATTAAAAAAAAACTATGAATGTTGTTAAATGTATTGTGTTTGTACTTGTAATTTGTGTTCTTAATAATAAAAGTTTCTTCTTTTGCCTTTTTTTTTTTTTTTTTTGCCTAGGTCGATCCATTTTGCTGTAGAAATTAATGTAATTCTAGTTTTGTTGCTGGTTTCGTACCCTGTGTATATAGCTTGACAATGAACTCGTGAAGAGTAAATTAGCTAGCTTTCTTAGCTTTGTGCGTTTGCATTTGACAATGAACTTTGGCTGCTCAAAATTCGACAATGAACAACTGTACAGTCAATGATAGCTGGTTTGAATTAATGGTACTATTCAATCAAGTTTTATTGTATTTTAAAATGATTTTAAAATATATAAAAAAAATAAATTTAAATTTTTGAAAAACATCATTCCTTCAGACCGCGTTCGCAAAAGGCGCAACCATGTAGCCCTGTTTTGTAAAGCAGTTGATTGACCTGGAGCAAATGATTGATGTCAGTGAACAAGACATCGCCAGAAATCTCCTTCAATGACCATGGCACAGCAGGTAAAAGCTGGGAACAGCAGAGGAAGAAGTACAAAGGGACCTACCATTTTTTTAGGGTTAATTTGCAAGGGTCTAAAAGAGGTTAATCCCTGATTTAGCTGTAAAGGGCTAAAAATAATTGTTACAGGTTAAGTACTGATTTTATTAATATAATGCAGCCAAACTACCTCCTGGGTTAGGTCATCAATGGATTCAATCATTGGACCTGCAATGTGATGTGCAGCAGATGGTATTTACGTTTTTTTAATGCCATTTTCCCTCTGGATTGACATATGGCATGTGCATCAATCAAATGTTTTACAGATCATCCAGGATCACACTTTTATATCTATGAGAAACTAAAAAATATGAAGGGTGTTCCAGTATATGAATTTACTTGGTGAGCAAGGACCCTGAGACCTCTCCAATCCAGCTATAACTTGTTCTGTTAGTTAACAACTCGCAGAGCTGTACGAAGATCGGCTAACCTTTTGAAGATGAAGATGGTAGTGATTTAAGGTTAAGCTGGTTGATTAGCAATCACTCATTCTTCATTAGACAGTGTTAATGAGGCAGAGGAGTGGAGGGACCGGAGTGTTTCCAGCCACAGTTAGGTAAGCAGGGCATCAAACAGTTGGTGATTTGTGACAGTGTTAATGCATAATTATTAATGATGATTGCTTTACAGGAAAGTGAATCATATGGGAAGAGCCCAATTGGTGTAACTTTCTTTATCCATTGGCAAGAAGTGTTTTTTTTTAATCAATAAGATTGCAAAATGTAATATATGTATGGTATACAAGGAAGAAAATAAAACAAGGGTTTTCTTGGAAATATTTTTCCGAATTAATTTTGCATTGGTGGGCTTACCAAAATAAAAAGCCTTATAGCATTGTTACCTTAGCTCATTGGGCCCATGAAGTCCACAATCTCCAACACTACCTCCCTTGGGAGGGAGGGAGTAGGAGGCGGCCCCCCCTGGTAGAGCAGAGACGGACATTGAGACGCAGCGCCAACACAAGGGTAAACAACAAATGAAAAACAGACAAAAATTCGAAACTTGAAGAGAACCCATTAAAGAAGTTGTCGAAAAAAGGTACTGTAACTTATTTTACACTTCTGGGTTTTCTACTTTACTCGAGAATGTCTGCCGAAGCAAGTTTAAGGCACAAGCTTAGTAAAAAACTCAAACTTGATACTGGAAAATCGTAGACTTCCAAGGAAAGGAATAAATCTTACAAGGGAGGGAATTTTGGACTGAGGAATTTAAAGCCAGGAGCACACGGCAGAGAAGACCGCCGTGGTGGTATAGAAGAGAGTGGTCATGAAGTTTATGGGAAGGGAAGGTTTGAACTTTCTAATTCTGATAGGAAAAGGAAAAGAGTTTATGCGGACACATATGGGGATTGGGAGGTAGCAAACAACAGAAAGGTGCAAAATAGTAAAGCTTTAGCTAAGAAAGGGCATGGTAAGGTGAAAGACGTTCCTGTTAAAAGCAAAAGTGGTGCTGTTGACCCTCTTCGCTCCATATGGATTTCTAATAGATTAGAGGCTGCTACTTCAGAAACAAAACGTTCTTCTAGTAAAGCCAAGCATAATAGTGCACAAGTATCTAGCAGTAAATCGAGTACCAAGGCAAACGAAGCAAATAAATTTGATGATGACAGACATGGTTTGTTGAACAACGAAACTAAAAACAAATTTGACTCTAGTAAACGAAGCACCAAAATGATGCGAGTAGATAAATTGGATAATGAGAAATGATTTGTTGAAGAAATAAAAACAAAATCAATAATGACTCAAGAAAGTGTTTGGATCAAAGTCGAAGCAAACACTCTAATGTATCTCCTTGATTTTCTATCAATAAAATTGTTCTAGACAAAAAAAGCAACGCTGACAATGACTCAGAGACTCTGGATGACCAGCCAAAGCAGAGAAAGCGGATTAGATTAGATCCACAAGACACCTCGAATAAGCGATTTGATGATGGGATAATTTCTGATGGTATGAATATTATTGAGTTTCCCTTGCTTATGACATGTATTGCCTTTTCCCCCTATCTATTACTGGGATTCTTCTACTAATAATATTTCAACTCTGATTTGGGAATATGTAACATGGGTTGGAAGCGCTAGTGCTTTGTAAAAGAAGTTGCCATCTTCATCTATGATAACTAATGTTAACTATTAATTTGTGGATGTCATTAAAAAACTAGGCATCTAATTGGTGGGTTCAGCTTTTTCTCGAGAGGCTTCTTCTTCCATTTCAAGTGAAACTGTTCAAGAGTCAGTAGGGATTAATGACATTACCATGTTAGCTATTTACATGTGTTATTCCATTCCCAGTCTCTGTTAGTCTGTCAATTCATTAGACAGTAGTTCAGAGAAGTGTAAAGCATAAGGTCAGGGCAACATATCGATCTTGCTGTTCAAAGAATGTGAGTTTCTTTTAATTCCTTTAATGAGGACATTGCTTTACTTCTTGAGGCTCTTACACCTTTGAGTATACTTGAGATTTGTATCCATGGTTCTAGTTGTTCATTTTCTCCAGCGTAGATAAAGGTTCTATTTTTCTTGCGTTATGGAGTGTTTGATTTATAGCTGTCTTCTTTTCCCCCTGTGTAGAAAAAGGGGCATGTGGAGAAGTTTGTCTTGTATGAACATCAGCCCCTGCATCACCCTCATGCCTGTCTTGCGTTCTTCATTTCCTACTCTGAAATTGTTTGGGAATGCCCTATGCTTAGCAACTGCACTGCTGCTCATTGAATGTGTTGGCTAATGTTTATATACACCACAACTTTTCTTTTTTGATTCTACTTGTTTGAGTCGTGTATGTTTTCTTTCTAAGGCAGTTTTCATTTTCAATCACTTTCTTTTCTTTTCTTCCAACTTTCTTAGCAGTAAATTCTTCCTCCTTTTTGTTCTGAGTCATGACTCATTCTTACTTGTTTTTCAGGAAGTACCATAGAGAGGAAAGCAGAATTGAAGGAAATTATGACTCATTCTTACTTGTTTTTCAAGAAGTACCATGGAGAGGAAAGCAGAATTGAAGGAAGATGCTGGAACGTCAAAGAATGCAAAATTCCGTGCGATCCAACCTAGTCCTTCCATCCTTTCTCTGATCTATCTGCTCCATTAGATAACATCCCCTTCTCTACAAGTTCAGAGAGAGAACGAATTGAAGAAAAAGTAAGTCTGTTATTTGCACTTTGAGACTGTTCTTGTAATCTATTGCTTAATCATTCCATTCATATGAATCTAGTCATAGAAAATGGTGGGCACATTTATGTGAACCATTGACTGTTCTTTCTTCCACTGTTGTGATTAAAATCATGGCTATAAGTAACTACTTTTAACAGATTTCTAGGAATAAATTGACATTTTTGCTGCTGCAAAGGTTTCATCTTCATTCCCACCCCCTGGTCTTCCAGAGATTGCATTTTATCACTCTTTTAAATGTTTATTACCTATATTTTCGTTTCCTTATTATTTTCAATGCACTTTTAAGGGTTGCTTGGTAAACGCAAATATTCCATCAATTGAAAATATTTTTAATTCCATTTGATCATAATGGATTCATTTAATGCCTATAATATGGCTACTTTGCATTGCTAAAATCTTAACTCATGGTGTGTAGTATTGATTATGCCTTTGGTTTTCTATTGTCAGAGCTATCTCCGACCGTTTGAAGTATAAATAATGAAATATTCCTCTTTAAAAAAGGAGGTTTAAATTGTGATGAATTACCACCTCCGTAGAAACTGAGTCTTTTCTCGTACTTCAACTATCCATTCTACTTGGCCATTTGATTGATGATATCTCTGATGCCATCTGCAGCAGGCTGGTTATTTATGATAATTTCAAATGGTGAACATGATTTTCTGGCCAAAGAATATAATATACTGCACTAGATATCCTTTTTGTGCTTGTTCATCCTTTTTGATACATTTAGTGAACATTATTACCATTGCTGGGACGGGTGTCGGGAAGTCATCACTACTTAATTCACTTACCAGACAATGGCTTGTTGCAAAGACATCAGTCATCACTACTTAATTCGCTTTCCAATTGACGTGGCACGTCGTGCAATGCAAATTGAAGAGGTGAATTTTGCACACAAACACTGATGACAATTTTGTTTAAAATCTCGAACTCTCTTCAGACTGATGGGTTTCTATCCATTAGATTTTGCAGTGCCTCAAGGTAAACAGGTCTCTTGTCCAGCTTGTGGTATGAATAAATTTTTTGTTTTGAAGGAATCCAAAGGGTTTACTTGCCTTTAAATGCACGGTGATGTAATTAATTTGAATTCGGTTTTACAATAGATGATGGTGAGCTCAAAATCTGGAGCTGGTCTTCGAGGCTTAAGGGCAGTGCCGCAGTGCTTTCCAAGGTTGCTTGTTTCGCCAAACTATAATCCATAGTCAGGTATGCACTGCTTTCATTGGTCAAACATGTTTTGTACTTTCAGAATCTTGAGTTTGGCATGATCTGGCCAATCAATAATGTCACGTATACGGGCATGGTAAACTAATTTGGCAATTTCTTCTCTTCATTTTAGTTTGGTGGAGCAGATAGGTTGGTTGATTATATGGCAGCCCCACCTTCTGCCTTTTCCATCTCTAACTCATGGTGGAGTAGTTGAACAACTTATTTTATCTTTGCAGGACGTGCAATTTGCATATCTGCACACTGATGTGAATAGCCTGTCCATTTCAGCCAGAAGGATGGGGCTTTTAGAATTGAAAATTCGCAGCAGAAACTGCTTCTTTATATCACAGCTCGTATGAAAAACCTTGATCACTCACAGTTCCGTAGTTTGACACACCATGAGAAGAAAAACGTTTTGTGGTTCCAAAGGGTGTTCTCAAACTCCCTGGCTTGCTAGTTGAGGAAGAAGTCCCAAAACAATCAAGGATTAACGACAAAGAGAAACTGAACTGTATGGCAGTTGAGGGACCTATGGTGTTGCTCTAAATTGGTGCCTGTGCTCCTATGCAACTCATTGGACTGGCTCGTTTTTGAGAATTACAATCAGGCGGCAGCTAGTGCTGCAATTAAATTATGCATCTGATGATACTGATGTGAACATTAAAATTGTTATGGTGCCACTATGAGATTGTGTAGAATCCTATGTGGACCAATAGCTGCCTATATAGTTTATAAGTCGGGCACGATTACAGGGTGAATTAGTGAAGATAGCTGGTAAAGTCTTTCTCAGATTCTAGAATGAGAAGCACATGCTGGAGTGAAATGTCATTGGGGTAGCGAGTTCTGGATGTAACATGAGCAAGATTCTCTTGATGAACTCGTCAAAGGGTGACAAAATATGGCTACCAAACCAAAATGATTAATTGTACTCTGTCAATTTGGATGAACAATCCAACGCAAAATCTGGTGGCAGAGACATTCAAACTTGACCTTTATTATAACATACTCTGAAAGGCTTGGGAAAACTACTGCAGCTTTCCCACACCTTTTCTCCCTTATTAATATATTATATTATTATAATTATTATATTATATTATATTATTCTATTATATTATAACATATTCTATAAATAGTACTGTAGCTTTTTTCATTTAATAATTTTTTTTATTTAATTTAGTTTTTTAATGTTTAATTTTTTTATTTAGTTATTAGATTTTTATAATGTGGATTATAGGTTTGATAGGTTAACCTCATTTGACGAGTTAACCTGAAATATTTTTCCATTTAGTTTAGTTTGTTATTGTTAAATTTTTTTTTATTTAATTATTAAACTTTCATAACAAGTATTCTAAATAAGTTAATTTAATTTGCATATAAGAAAAGTAAATAAGAAAAGTACGGTAACTTTCCTCGTGCCTTTTAGACTTTCCCTATTCTTAATTATTATTATTATTATTATCATTATTATTATTATATTATATTATAACATATCCTAAAAAGTACTATAGCTGTCTTTTTTTTGTTTTTATTTTTTTTTGAATAATTTTTTTTATTTAATTTAGTTTGTTAATGTTAATTTTTTATTTAGTTATCAAACTTTTATGACACATATCCCGGGTTTGACGAGTAAACTTAGATTTTTTTTTTGTTTAGTTTAGTTTGTTACATTTAGTTTAATTTATTATTATTAAATTTTTTTCTATTTAATTATTAGACTTTCATAACAAGTATCCTAAACTTGACAAGTTAATTTAATTTACAAATAAGAAAAGTGCGGTAACTTTCCTCGTGTCTTTTAGACTTTCCCTATTCTTAATTATTATTATTATTATTATCATTATTATTATATTATATTATAACATATCCTAAAAAGTACTATAGCTGTCTTTTTTTGTTTTTATTTTTTTTTGAATAATTTTTTTTATTTAATTTAGTTTGTTAATGTTAATTTTTTTATTTAGTTATCAGACTTTTATGACACATATTCCGGGTTTGACGAGTAAACTTGGAATTTTTTTTTGTTTAGTTTAGTTTGTTAATATTAAATTTCTTTCTATTTAACTATTAGACTTTCATGACACGTATCTCGGGCTTAATAGGTTAACTTGGTTTGATGAGTTAACCTAATTAATTCTGGGTAAACCCGTCAATTTTTTTTCTTTCCCCACGCCTTTTAGACTTTAAAATTTAGATTTTCTTCTTTTTTTCATAGTTTTTTTCTTCTTATAAGTTTTTTTCTATTATTTTTTCTTTTGAATTAATATTTTTTTATTTAATTTAATTTATTAGTATGAATTTTTTTCTATTTAGTTATTGGTTGATGCTTTTTTCTATTTAATTATTGGTTGATATCTTTTTTTTATTTAGTTATCTTAGGTTTGGCTAATTAGAGAATTTTTTTTTTTGCTTTTTTGCTATTTTATGCCTTTGATTGTGGATTGTACAATGTAGTCCATAATAAAAAGGCTAATGCTTTCTGTTTGTTTTGGTTTTTTTTTAAATTATTTTTTTTGTTTAATTTAGTTTGTTAATGTTTATTTTTTTATTTAGTTATCAAAATTTCATAACACGGATTCCGGGTTTAACGAGTTAGCTTAATTAATTATGTGTAACCCATCAATTATTTTCTATTTAATTATCAAATTTTCACGACGCGAATCCCGAGTTTGACAGGTTAATCTACTTTTAAGGGTTAACCCAATTCATTCATATTTTTATTTTTTTCATTAGTTTTTTAAAGAAAAACTTATGAATTACTACAATGTTTCCTATATGGCTTTTTCTTTCTTTTTTTATAAATTTTTTCTTTTATTTTTTCAAACTGGTCTTTATCGATTTTGCTTTATAATTTTTTCTTTAAAACACTGTAAATTGTTATAATATTTCCCCACATTGTTTTTGTTTTGCTACAGTATTTCCTGACTTTTTTTTAAAAAAAATTATTTTTGTTGATTTTTTTTTAATATTAAACTGATTGAGAATTTATCTTTAACTTTTCCCACATGTTTTTTTTTCTGTTTTTTTTTTTCAAAATTATCTTCTTTTTTTTAGTATTGTTTTTTCAGAATTGTTTTTGTTGATTTTCTGTTTTTTTTCCAAAATTATCTTCTTTTTTTAGTGTTGTTTTTTCAGAATTGTTTTTGTTGATTTCTGTTTTTTTTTTTCAAAATTATCTTCTTTTTTTTAGTATTGTTTTTTCAGAATTGTTTTTGTTGATTTTATTTTTTTAATATGGAGCTGATTGTTTTTTTAAATATTAATCTGGTTGAGAATTTAGTTTTGTAGCTTTTTCCATGAAAACAATGTGGATTGCAACAATTATTCTATATATAATTTTTTTTTCCCCAAAAACTAACAATATACAAGCCCAAGACCTGATTGAGAATTTGGTTTAGTTTTTTTTTTTTCTTAAAAACATTGTGGATTGCTATAGTGTTCCCCTACATGATTTTTTTTTGTTATGATTTTTTTTTAAATTATCTTTATCAATTTTATTATTTTTAATATTGAGTTGGTTAAGAATTACAACTGTAGATTTGTTCATAAAATACTATAGATTGTTACAATGTTTCCTTACATATATTTCAGTTAAATTCAAAATTCTTGGATATAAATTAAAAAAAATTAATATTTTAATATTTTAATTTTTTTAATATTTTTATTAAAAAGTTAACCCATAACATCACGCAAATTACCTAACTATATCCTTCGATTTCTTGGCCCCTTATGAAAACAATTTGGATTGCAACAATTATTCTATATATAATTTTTTTTTCCCCAAAAACTAACAACATACAAGCCCAAGACATTGGGTAGGCATGGCATCTAGAAAAATAAAATAAAAAAAACTTTGCAACCGATTCACATCTAAATATTGAGTTCAAAATTCTTAGATATAAATTAAAAAAAATTAATATTTTAATATTTTAATTTTTTTAATATTTTTATTAAAAAGTTAACCCATAACATCACGCAAATTACCTAACTATATCCTTCGATTTCTTGGCCCCTTGGTACTGTACGAGTATTGTTGGGATATATCCACTTTAAATTCTCGTGGGAAATGTCTCAATCTCTAGCATTAATAGCGAGGGAAAACCATCTAGGTGGTGGCCAAGTGGTAAGAGTTTGGGATCAAGGGGTTTGCTCCCTCTGTGGTCTCAGGTTCAAATCCTTGGTTACTCATATGATGACCACTGGAGACTTACATGGTCGTTAACTTCAGGACCCGTGAGATTAGTCGTGATGCGCATAAACTGGTCCGGACACCTTCTATAATAAAAAAAATAACAACGAGGGGTGGAAAAAATAGGATCCATGTTTGACTTCCTTGTTTTTTGCTCCATTAAAACTCGTTTCAAGAAATCCAAGCTCCATTAAAACTCGTTTGAAGAAATCCAAGTGTTGAATAGAACAACGTGCCTAAGCCACTCAAGGGATTGCCTCATCTCATCTAGTAACCTATTAACTTATATTAAAACTATCCCCTCGCAACCCACCACCGACTTTTTTGTCTTTTCCAATATTTCTGACAAAATCCCCTACTTTCTTGATCTGATATTTATTTAAAGTTTTCACTACTTATTTTCAATGGCTCTATGCACTTAAAGACACCCAATCAACTCTGCGTTTAACCCTCTAGGCATCCAACATGATGGTTATAAAACCTGTGCTGGCTAGCCGGTCGTCTTGGTGAAACTTGGCTCGACATGTTTTTTTAAGAAAATATTTGAAACGATATGGTTCACTGAGTTAACTCTTGAATTGTAAAAAAAAACAAACATATTTTTGCGTTGAAATGGACTCTGTTTCCATCTGCATCGAAAACCTACACCTTCACAGGAATTTTAATTATTACAACCTCATAAATTCCAGTTAAAAACATGAAAAATGAATCAACTTATCCACTTGAACTAAAATGATTAATTAATTATAACTTTGTAGGGAGATCACTATTGACTATTCAAAACTAATCCAATAGATCAAGGATTAGGTAAAATGCGACAATCACATGCAGCAGCCCCATCATTACTCATTAGACCCCACCTCTCCCTTAATTATTCTTCTATCCATCCCCTCTTTTCCTTTCTCTAAACCAAAATTTTGACAAAACTTAAATCACACCCCACCTTTCTTTTCTTCTTCTTCTTAATAACAATTATAGTACAAACAACCAAAGATTATTGCTTTTCTTGTTAATATCTTGACATTTCTCAAAATTTACAAATAATACCAACAATGTGCCCATTGAGGCTGATTCTGATATTCCTCTCCGCCACTCTTGCTGGTTTTTTCGTCATCAGAAACCTCAAATCCAGCCCTTTCTCCGCCACCACCGACAGCGGCGATGACGACTGTTCCACCACCCCCGACAGCGACTGCAACTCTCCTCAACCATCTGATTATTCTTCTTCATCTCGATTCTCAAAGGTCTGAAGTGGTCACACATGCTGTGTCTTTTTTTTTTTTTTGGTTTTTCTTGTTTTGGGTAAAGTTTTGATCTTTTCATTGAAAATATGCAGGTAAAGTCAGGGATAGAAATGGGGTTTTGGACATTGGTGGACATGGCAAGTGGAAAATACTTGTGGAGGCAATTGGGTTATTCTTCAAAACGTGAAAGCTGATTGCTTTTGGAGTTCTTGTGTGTTGTAGGTATTGGAATTTACAAATGGGCTGTATGGTTTTCCTTTTAGTAATATTGATTGTGAATTACTGTAATACAATTGAAAAAACAAAACCCATCTGGAAATCATTGTTGTTGTAATGTTGCTGTTGTTGTATTGGTGGTAGAATTGTAACTTGTTAGCATTTAGTAAGAATGAAAGATCAAAACTTTGTGGCTTTTGGATGTTGTGTTGCTCTTTACTCTTTTCATTTATGTTGTACTGGTGGTGAGATTCTGCTCTTTAATTTGTAGTAATGTTGCTGCTGTTTTATAGGTGATGAAATTGTAATTACTAGTACTAGCATTTAGTAAGAATGAAGGATCAAAACTTTGTGGCTTTTAGATGTTGTGTTGCACTTTAGTCTTTTCTTTTGTGCTGTGTTGGTGTTGAAATGCTGCTCTTCTGTAGTTTGTGTTGCTGTTAAAGGTGTTCCAATCTGTCGAGAACTTAAAAAGTGTGAAACCTTGTTTAGGAGTTGAGAATTTACCATGTTGGCTATAATTAGGAAGATGGTAATGTATGTATGGTAGGTGTTACAAGAATTGGTGAAATTGAGATGATTTTGTGGTGGATTGTGATGATAATGGTTTGTGTATTGGATGATAATCTGCAATATGCAATGAGCCAAGAGTTCACATTTTAAGATCTATACAGCTAGTGTGGAATGTCAACATCATGAGGCTCCTTTAGAAATAGAACTGAATACCCTTGAACTTTGTTTATTGAAGTGCGTGAAGCTTTCAAGCACTTGTTAATACAGATGTTCTAGCATGTGCGTTTGTGCCATATGCCATCTCCCATGTTAATTATGTGTGTTTTCTGCCAAATGCTAAATTTATAAAATTGTTGACAATACCAGAGATGCATTAATTCAGATGGGAAGTTACTATAATTCTCTGGAAATATGGATTGGCTTCAAGTAGCCTGTCAAGTGGTGATAGTGATGCCTGTATGTCTCTTTGTGCCTATAGAAACTCCCACATTGCTCTGTGTAATGTCAAGAACCCTGGGGCCATTGTTGTACAACCTTGTATAAACGAATACAATTAATGTATGCATTTATGTTCCATGATGATATTGGTCAAATCAGGTAAAGATTCAACCGATCCAGCTAGGTTTAGCATTGTGGTACGGTGCCGGTGCCGTTGCGGTTTCGGTTGAAGATGTTTTTAAGCGGATTAGAATTTACTTACAGATTTTTTTCACACAATACTGTAAAATAAAAGATGCATAGCTTACCATGATATCTATTTAAAAGCGTTTTAACGTGAAAGGTAACATTTGAAGCAATCAATTGAGAAATGAGGTAATATATAATTAATGTATGCATAAAAAAAATATCATTATCATTATTGTGGATTGAAAGTGAAGGCACTTGTGTTATGTCGGATACCGGATCTCTTTGTCATGCATAGAAAATTAAGCCCTGAGGATATGTCACAACCTTGTATGAACGAACATCTTCGTGCTGTTAGAATCACCATTCTCTCAGATACTAGTAAAAGTGACGCTTCTTTCGAGGCAAGATATCTGCACGCAGCTGAGTACGTGGTGGAAACCTCCACAAGTTTTGAATTCGCCGCTCCTGCAAGTCTCTCCTTTTCACTCTGCTGTTCTTTGTTTTTCTTTCTCATCTGAAACTCGGAAGATTTATGAATTCTTCTAAAAATTGGGATGTAGATGATATGATGTATTACAAAATGATTTCTTTCTTTCTTTAAATAAAAAAATAAAAAAATCAAAAGAACTTCCTTTCTTAAAATCTTAAAATTCTTCTTCTTCTTCTTCTTCTTTTTTTAAAAAATAAACTTGACAAAAGTTTAATTTATAATTCCAAGCCATCTATTCTAATATTCTCGGTGTGACATAATTTTTACAATAAAAATCAACATAAAATTACCCTATGAATTAATATTATAGTCTGATAAATCTCACATCATCGGGTAGCTGTGTTGATCTAGATTAAAGTAAAAATAATACCATATAAATTATCTTAAAAATCAACTTGTTTTGATTCGGTTTTTCTTGTGTTAACTATGGATCAATCTAAATTTTTGACTGAGTAATACTATATCATTCTTTTCGGTCCTGACCCAATCTAAATTCTAGGTTATCAAGATCACGGTTCAACCCCCAAGCCAAGTCCTGTTTTAAACCCGTGAATAGAAGCACTCAAAATTTGAAATATTTATAAAACCCACACACCAACGGTCGAATTGCATCTAACTCCACTCCCTCAGAGGAAGAAAGAGGAAGAACAACGTATCCTTATCTTCCATACCCGTAAATGACAAGAACGAGAAAAACCCCAAAAAATCCTCAAGAACTAGGAGAAGCAGAGAAGGGAAAGAATGGGTTTTTCGCTTGCTATCTCTTGACTTCTCTCTGCCCCCGATTCAAAGGCCACACCTACATCGGGTTTGATTCCTTCTCACTTTTTTCTGCTTTCTCAATCTTAAGATTGGTGTCTTCATTGGTTTTATGTATTTTTTGTTGATCAATCTATAAAGTATTAGTCTTTGATTGATTTATAAATATTTTGGAGTCTTCAATTAAAAGAAAAAAAATTCATCAATCTATTAAGGGTTTGATTGATTAGTGATGTTGTGATCATTTGTTTTGTGGGCCCATGTAATCTCTGTTTCTTACTTGAAACCCAATTTTAATGGACAAGTTTGTTCCTTTTTTTAGTATTTAATTTGTGTTAACAAAAAAGATTTGATCTTTGGCAAGCCAGGACAAGATGTTTTCTCTCTTTTTTCTTGTTTTGATGAGTAAAAGGGCTGGAATTTTTGCAGATTTACAGTGAATCCGCGGCGGAGAATTAGGCAACATAATGGCGAGCTTAGAAGTGGAGCATGCAGGACTAAGAAAAGAAGGCCATGGGAAATGGTTTTCTGCATTTATGGTTTCCCAACTAACGTTGCTGCTTTGCAGGTTATTTCTTTTTCTTCTTTTAACTGTTTATTCACTCTCTGCTTTGGTTTCATATAGTATGTTGAAGCAGTTTTATCCTTTACCTTTGTCGATGTTAGAGTCTAGGAAGAAGAGCTTACCTTCAGCCAACCGCAAGACAATGGCCTTGGCAGTTTATTTACAAATCTAAACTGAAATTGAGGTGGTAAAAAAATATTGTTTGGATCTGCTCCTTGCTATCATGCTTTGGATTTTGGAAGTTCGCATTTGCTTGCTCTTCTTTCGGAGTTTCTTTATGATATTAACTTCCTGTTTTTATTTTCACCTCCTTTTCCCAGCAAGGGACTATAACCAGTATTTAAGCACATGTCTTTAACATTTTGTGCAGTAGAATAGTTGGTTGCCGCCTGATGGGATGATGTGCTACTGATCATCTTATCCGAAGATAATAAAAAGAAGTGGTTTTTTTCTTCAATGAAGTTGTGCTTTGTAGGCCTGTGGAATGATAGCAAAGATTATTTTTTTGCATCAAAGAGATTAATTATTTTAATTATACATCTTCAAAACTGTCTTTAGGAATGGGACCGAAAAAAAAAAAAAAAACTCTTCGGAAATGTTGTATGATCTCGAGCAAAGTTTTTATTCTGCCAAAACTAGTCCTTCACTTTACCTGTAAAACCAGAGTTTTAAGATCCTGTCATTAGTTGCAATACATAAGAATTTCACTCATATCGTAGTTGCTAACATATGAAATGTGTATGCAAACCTGCAGTTTGAATGGGCGTGGCAGCACCCAACAGAATCAGTGGCAGTGAGGCAGGCAGTTGCTGGTTTTAAATCCTTCTCGGGAGTTGCCAACAAGATTAAACTTGCTTACACAATGCTTAACCTCCCGTCGTGGCAGAGGTATGACTTATTCTTGTGGAAGTAAATAGACATTACTTGATCTCAAGGTTTGATATATCAAATACTGAATGTGTCTCTGTACATGATTAGCTTGAACATCACCATAAACCATTTCTCAACGAACTACAAAGTACACTCTGTTGGTTGTCCAAGCTTGCCAACGAACATGAAGGTCCAAATTTGCCCCATGGATGAGCTGCCCTGCTATTGTGATTCGGGGGATATTTTATTTGAAGAGAGAGAAAATGAAGATGCCTGGGATGGTGAAGAGGAATATAAGAGAGCTAGTGATGGAAGTGGAGCTGTCGAGGCAAACTTGGTGGAACTTGAAGTTTCCTCCCTGGATGAGCTTCCATGCTATAATGGAAGGGAGGATAATATTTTTGAAGGTGGATATGGTGAAACGGCATCCAGGGAAGCTTGTAACAGAAGTGAGCCCGTACACGAAAAATATAATGAATCTGTTAACACACGAGGAACTGTTAAAGAAGCACATGCAGATATTATAGTCCATATTACTGCAGATTTTGCACGTAGCATTGACAAGACTTCCAATGAGCATTTCAGATGCTTTGAAGAATATGACCAGCAAGACCGAAGGGAACCACCCTTTCCAGAACTGGATCATGCAAATCCATTTCCTTTCATGAATTTACAAGCAAGAAAAGCTTCTTCAATTGCTCCTAGCTTTTCAAAGAGCGAGACTGGAGATAGGGGCGTATTGACATTGATTGATGAGGAGGTTTCTGAATTGGATTGGCAGAGGGCTAAGAAATTAGTTATTGACAAAGATGATGAAGCTAGCAACACCTGTGAAAATGTGAACGTGGATAATCATTCGTCTGTAGATGCACATTGTATTAACAAGGCTTCTCGTGAACAATTTGGACTGTCTGAACCATATGTCATGCAAGACCAAAGAGCGCCACCCTCTCCAGTACTAGATTATGCAGAACCATTTGGTTTCATGAATCAGCCATCAAGTAAAGCATCATCTTCTATTGTCACAAACTTTTCTGCGAGGGAGAATGGGGGTGTATTGACATTAATCGGCGAGGATGCTTCTGAATTTGATTGGCCAAGATGGAAGAAGCTTTCTTGCAAAGTAATCAATGATAAAGATCAAGTCCTGATTCCAAGGTCATTCATTCCTCGGGAAATTGAGGTTATAGATTTGCTGTCCCCATCTCCAGAATGCAGAATTAGGTCAGCCAACAAGAAGAGAAGAGTTTCTCCTGTGTATCCGGTAATTATTGACTTGACTTAGCCCAAGCTTGTCCAATTTCCTAGTGTCGGACATAATAGCAAAAAGTAATTGGATAAGTACACAGTTTCAATCCGAAGAATCTGCTTTGGCTACATTG